ACCTGGAAAGGAGGAACGACAAAAAGGGGATGTTGCTGCAGCTTGGGAAAGGTTTTTTCACCCCGTTCCGTCTCAGGATTATTGGAAGGAATTTTACAAATGAGAGAAGGAAGCTGCAGTCAAGGGAGAGGTGCCAGAAATAGATTTATTTTTTCTTTCTCCTGCTAGAAATGAAGAAATTTGGGAGTCCATAGAGGCTGTTCCACAGGCACCCCCACTTTTTGCTTGCCAAGGCATTTGCATTCCTCTGGAAAGTGGCATCCACCTGCAAGGGGAGTTGCCATGTAATCCCAAAGAATAAAAACTCCTGGAAGCATCTCCGTGCCACTGAGGCAGCTCCAGAGGGACCTAAGTTGGAATTAGCAGGACATGTCCTGACTCTTTTCGGATGGTAGAGGAGAAGGATCAGCTGGGAAGATGTTAAATATTAATATTTTACCCAATCGCCGCCATTCGTGGATTTGGTGAGTATGCCATGGCTTTGTCCAGATCACAGCACTTCTGGTGGGCACAAAACTTGGAAATCAGGATTGTTCCAGGCTGAGAAGCAGCTGCTGGATGGGAACATGGACAAGGGGGCTCCTGGAGCTGTGGGATTGCTGAGTATTTCCTTCTCTGATCTTCCCTGCTCAGAGTTTGATTTTAGACACCCTCGCGACGCCTCCGAGCGGGGACTGGCTGGGGAAGGGATGGAAATTTTCCCGTTGTCCTGGTTTATTTTCCTTCTCAGGTGTTTATTAACCTCCATTTTCCTTTAAAAATTAATGAGTCCCTAAAACGTCCTTGGCTGGGGGGTTCCATTCCATGGTGCCACCTCAGCTCCTTCTCCCTGGTGCATTTTCATGGGCAGAGGGAGCAGCTGCTGCTCGGGCCAGCCCGGGGGCACAGGGGGAGCTCAGGGAATTCCAGAGGCTTTTCCCAGCGTGGGGCTGGGAGATGGCACCAAAACCTCGAGTTCTGGGTGAAGATCCACTGGTGGAGTTCAGGGCTTTGGCTGGTGTGAGCCATGTGGTCTTCCAGTGGGGATAATCTGTGGGAATCTGGAGATAATTTTATATTCTGCCTCTTCAAATCCTGCATTCTGTGATCTCACCTACACACAAATATTCTGGTTTTACACAGGATTTCTTCCCTGTAATCTCATTATGGTTTTTAATCGTTTAACCGTGGGTCTGGGATCAACCTACAGGTCAATATTTGTGGATAGGAATAAAAATATCCTCTGATATATAAATATATAAATAAAATATAAATATATATATATCTATCCAAGGCTCTGAGCCTTGGAATGGTGCTGGGGAGGGATTGGGTTCTCCAGAGCACGTCCTGCTCCTCTCGTGTGCAGTTCCAGGGATAGGAGAATGGGAAGGGGAATGCTTGGAGAAGAGGAGAAATGCAGGGCCTGGATTAAAATTATGGAATCCTGGAATGGGTTGGGTTGGAGATCATCTCATTCCATCCAGGGACACCTTCCACCATCCCAGGCTGCTCCAGCCTGGCCTTGGGCACTTCCAGGGATCCAGGGGCAGCCCCAGCTGCTCTGGGAAATCCCTTCCAGGGCTTCACAGGAGGAATTCCTTCCTAACACCCAAACTAGCCCAACCTATCATGGAATTTTTTCCCATGGTTTCCCCTTGAGCTTTAGCAGGGGCAGTTGTTGCTTTGGTTTGGAAAGTTCCTCCTGAGGAAGAGCCCAAATATTGGATGGGAGGTGCTGATTGATTTGCCAGATCTACAAATGAAGGGAAGGGGAGAAACCTTGTGCATTAATTATGGACAAAATCAATGCCCAAAGAGGCCAGGAAGTGATGGAAAAAATCACTTGGAGAAAGGAGAAGCCCATTTCTGTGACCACAGGAGAACAAAAATCATTTTAGCTCTGGGAACTGAAACAAACCCTGAGCAGGGGAGATTCCCAGGGGTGGGACAGGGACAGATCAGAGCCATGGGATCAGGCAGGGAAATTTCAGCTCCAAGAGAGCCTTGGCAGGCTGTGGATTTATGAAAGAAGGGATAAAGTTATCCCAAGAAAAATCACTTCACTTGTGCCCAGGTGAAAACAAAGCCAGTTCTCCACCCTGTGCTGGCCTAGCTAAAGCAGACCTGTGTAAGCTCCTGGTTGCTGTTCAGACATTAATTCCTGGCTGAAATGTCTTCAGGGGTTCCTTTCCTCTGGAATAAATGTTTTGGGCTTCTTTGGAGCTTCTCCCTCCTCTGTCCCATCACACAAAAGGAAATCTTGTACTGGATCTTCCTCCTGGCCTGGGGGAAGGAGTCCTGCCCATGGCAGGGGTGGGATTGGATGAATTTTCAGTCTCCCAAAGCTCTCCATGGGTGACCTTTGGAATCCCAGGATTTCTGACACTCAGGAATAGGTGAAATGTGGGACAGATCCCAGGATTTCTGACAGCTCAGGGAGCTTGGAGAGGCACTGCACAGCTCCCAGCTGGCAGCTGGAGTGGCAGGAGTATCTTTGTGTTGGAATGCAAACAGATTTATCAGCACAGTGGTAAAAGGGACCAGGAGTCACCCTGACCTTGGCTCCCTCTGCTGCCCTGGCTCAGGCTGAGATGTGGCACTTGGATGTGAGGCTGGAGGGGTTTTCCATAACGTGGTAATCATGGAATAACTGCATAATCCTGGAGTTACTGAGCTTGGAGAGGCCCCCTGAGACCACCAAGTCCCCCAGCACTGCCAAGGCCACCCGTGTCCCCAAGTGCCACATCCTTTTAAACCCCTCCAGGGGTGGGGACTCCACCCCTGCCCTGGGCAGCTGTGCCAGGAAAGGAAGAAATTTTCCCAAATATCCAATCTAAACCTTCTCTGGGACAACTTGAAGCTGTCTCCTGTTGTCCTGTCACCGTTCCCTGGGAGCAGAGCCCAATCCCCCCTCACTTCGTGGACAAATTTCACTCTGATTTTTATACTGACTTTCCAAATACTCCAGGTTTGCTCTGGGAATTAACACTCTCCAGATCTGTGGGTTAAACCTTCCAGTCACCTTATTTCCATGGATTTCAGCTGGATCTTAAACCATTTTGGTTCCTCATCCTCCCATAAATCATCAGGATTTCCAACAAGGCGATGATTTATATGCAGCAGGTAGATTTGAGAGACAGAACTCTGAAATCTGTGGGCACAATTTAGAAAAGGAGAGGCCAAATATTTCTGCTGAGCTCCCAAGTGCCTGGAGGGAGCACAGAGAGCTGGCTGTGCCTGCAGCAGAGACAATTCCTGCCTGGCAGGGTGAGGGATGGGATTTAATTGGCAGCATTTGGGAGCTGGATGTGGAGGGCTTCTGCTGGAGCCAGGGTTTGGTATTTAGTGACCTTTCCCTTCTCCTGGGGCTGGGTCTTTTCAAGTCGTTCCTGGCTGTGTTTTCCCGCTGCTTTTGAAAGGCAGAAGATAAAAGTTAAGAGGCTGCTCCTGACGTATTTACATTTCCATCTTTCCCTTCATTATCTTCACTTCCAGGGAAAGGATCTGGGCAGCTTCACTGGGATGGGAGAATTTCAGCCGAGTTCAGGGACATCTCTGCCTGTCACGCACACAGAGCTGCTTCTCCTGCTGTTCCTCCTGCTCCTCCTGCTCCTTGCCTTGTCCCCCCGGGCTGCAGAGACCCCTCAGCATGGAGGAGCTGCTCCTCCAGGAGCATTCCTTGGCAAAGGTGACAGCCAGGCAGGAGCTGGGAGCCCCAGGATGGTTTCCCTGGGTTGGTGTGACTCCAGGAGGAACTGGAGCTGCTGGAACAACTCCAGAGGAACCCCCGGAGCTGCTGCAGGGCTGGAGCCCCTCTGGAGCCAGGCTGGGAGAGCTGGGGGGGCTCCCCTGGAGAGGAGAAGGATCCAGGGAGAGCTCAGAGCCCCTGGCAGGGCCTGGAGAGGGACTGGGGACAAGGCAGGGAGGGACAGGACACAGGGAATGGCTTCACTGCCAGAGGGCAGGGATGGATGGGACATTGGGAATTGGGAATTATTCCCTGGGATGGAATTCCCAGAGCAGCTGGGGCTGCCCCTGGATCCCTGGCAGTGCCCAAGGCCAGGTTGGACAGGGCTTGGAGCAGCCTGGCACAGTGGGAGGTGTACCTGCCAGGGCAGGGGTGGGATGAGATGATCCTTGAGGCCTTTTCCAGGCTGAGCCATTCCAGGATCCTGTGAATGCAAACTCAGCTCTCAGCATTTCTAAGAAGTTCTGGGACTTTTCCCACTCTCACATCTTAGCAGGCTTAGGAATGAGATTCCTGTTCTGAAAACCTGATCAGGATTTCTTTCCTAACCCTCTTCTCCAGGGGCCAATAACTGGGATATGGATTTCTTTTAGCTCCAATTCCTGGGCAGATCAGGCAATCTCAGGCACTCTGATGGAAAAGGGGTTTCTTTCCTTCTTCCCAGCAGAAAGAAAAGCAATTTAAGAAGGGCCTGCTCCCAGGCCCAAAGCTCAGCCCAAGCTTCATCCTAGGAATAAACAAAGGATTTGCTGGTGCTTTTCCCTGTCCTGACTTCCACAGGAGCCTCCTCAGGGCTTCTCAAAGGAGCCCAGGGGTGATTAAAAACCTTTCCCTCCAAACTGCAATCCCAAACTCATCACCATCATCATCATCATCATCATCTCTCTGCTGTTCCCACTGCCCTGGGAATTCCAGGCTCTGGCAGAGGGATTGAGCTCTGGGACTGGACAGGGAAATCTTGGCTGCTCGTGCTGAGGGCAGCTGCTACAGAAAGAGATTCTGGAGTTTAGAATGGTGGAATGATGGAATGATGGAATTGTAGACTCATGGAATGATGGGATGATAGAATCAGAAACTCATGGAATGATGGAATGATAGAATTGTAGACTTATGGAATTATGGAATGATAGAATTGTAGACTCATGGAATTATGGAATGATAATAGAATCATAGACTCATGGAATTATGGAATGATAGAATCATAGACTCATGGAATGATGGAATGATAGAATCATGGAATTATGGAATGATGGAATGATAGAATCATAGACTCATGGAATGATAGAATCATAGACTCATGGAATTATGGAATTATAGAATCATAGACTCATGGAATGATGGAATGATAGAATCATAGACTCATGGAATTATGGAATTATAGAATCATAGACTCATGGAATGATGGAATAATAGAATCCTGCAATCACAGAGCTGGAAGTGACCCAGCTTGTATCACAGAACACCTTCATTCCATGCACTACAAAATTTTTTTTTTTTTTAATGATGGCTGGAAAATCATTTCCTAAGGCACGTGAACTCCAGCACAAAGAGCCTTTCCATCCCCTTTGGAAGCACACAAAGTGTCCTTCAGAGCATTTGCATTGTCTTGGTTCACTTTGGCACAGAAACCCAGCCTGGTGTGGCTGGAAGGAGCCTGGAAAACCCTCTCATCCCAGGAGCTGGGGCTGAGGCAGCTGGGGCTGACCCTCACTGCTTATTTTAATCTCCTGATCGATTGAGAAACTCGATGAAGGGTGTGAAGGAAGGCGAACAAACCAGCAAAAGGTTGGGGAGAGATAAACCCCCCTGGCTGCGCTGCTGCTGGAGTTTTTCAGCCTTTCCTTGCCGGGTTCAGCCGTGCGGGGCCGCTTTGAGCGCTCCCATTGACGTCAATGGAGCATCTCACATCCCAACCCTGCCTGGCTCCCTCCCAAAATCCCTCCCGGCACCCCGGGAACCGCCTCGCCCGCCACAATTAACAACAAGCCAATTAGGGATGCGATAAAGTGCTAACACTGCTCCTAAAATGCTGCAGTTTGCTTTTTTTTTTTTTTTCCGGAGGGGGGGAAAAAAAGCAAATTTCGAACAGGCAAAATTATTGCTTGGCTTAAAAATGGGTTTGATAATAATTTTATAGGGTCTACTCATCATTTTATAGGGTCTGCTTCTCACCAGCTCCGATTATTTGAGTGGTTTTGTTGTTCTTTTAATGTAAACTCTTATTTATAAGTATCTTTTTTTTTTTTTTTTTTTTTTTATGTAACTCTAAATTCTAGGGCAGAAAATGCCTGCGAGCCTTTCAGAGCAGTTTGGCTTTTTTTAGCTTTTTGTTGGAAGGAAGAGCCTGGGAAAAACGTGTTAATTGTCTCCGTGTGGGAATGGTGCAGAGGAGCTCCGCGGGATGCAGGCGGTGACACGGAGCTGATGGATCCCTGCCGGGAGCCCTCATCCCACCGATCCTGTGGCTTTTCAGGGATTGTCCCGGCTCATCCAACCTTCCTGAGCTCAGGACAGCATCTCCTCCGCCCCACGGGGCTGGGAAAATGGGAATTAGTGAGGGAAACGTGGCTGGGAAGGGGAAAATCGTGTAGGGAAAAATCAAATTATCTTCGCTCTCTGTAGTGCTATGGGAAATTCAACCCCCAAGAGGCTGGTCCTGGATTCCCTGGGATCTCCTGCCAAGTGGGAAATGGACCTTCAGAGAAGGAAATCAAAATAAACCTGAGCTGGAGGCTGCTGAGCTCAGAAAGGGCAGCTGGGGCTGGGGCACTGCGGCTTCGCTGCGGGTTTATCCCAAATCAGCCCCTGGTTTATCCCAAATCAGCTCCTGGGTTTATCCCAAATCAGCTCCTGGGTTTATCTTTATTCCTGAAATCAGCTCCTGGGTTTATCCCAAATCAGCTCCTGGGTTTATCTTTATCCCAAAATCAGCTCCTGGGTTTATCCCAAAATCAGCCCCTGGGTTTATCCCAAATCAGCTCCTGGGTTATTCCTGAAATCAGCTCCTGGGTTATTCCTGAAATCAGCTCCTGGGTTTATCCCAAATCAGCTCCTGGGTTTATCCCAAATCAGCTCCTGGGTTTATCCCAAATCAGCTCCTGGTTTATCCCAAATCAGGGTTTATCCCAAATCAGGGTTTATCCCAAATCAGCTCCTGGGTTTATCCCAAATCAGGGTTTATCCCAAATCAGCTCCTGGGTTTATCCCAAATCAGCTCCTGGGTTTATCCCAAATCAGCTCCTGGGTTTATCCCAAATCAGCTCCTGGGTTTATCCCAAAATCAGCTCCTGGGTTTATCCCAAATCAGCTCCTGGGTTTATCTTTATCCCAAAATCAGCTCCTGGGTTTATTCCACATCAGCCCCTGGGTTATTCCTGAAATCAGCTCCTGGGTTTATCCCAAATCAGCTCCTGGGTTTATCCCAAATCAGCTCTTGGGTTATTCCTGAAATCAGCTCCTGGGTTTATCCCAAAATCAGCTCCTGGGTTTATCCCAGATCAGCTCGTGGGTTATTCCTGAAATCAGCTCCTGGGTTTATCCCAAAATCAGCTCCTGGGTTTATCCCAAATCAGCTCCGGGGTTTATCCCAAATCAGCTCCTGGGTTTATCCCAGAGCAGCTCCTGTGTTATTCCTGAAATCAGCTCCTGGGTTTATCCCAAATCAGCTCCTGGGTTTATCTTTATCCCAAATCAGGGTTTATCCCAGATCAGCTCCTGGGTTTATCCCAAATCAGCTCCTGGGTTTATCCCAAATCAGCTCCTGGGCTTATCCCAAATCAGCTCCTGGTTTATCCCAGATCAGCTCTTGGGTTATTCCTGAAATCAGCCCCTGGGTTTATCCCAAATCAGCTCCTGGGTTATTCCTGAAATCAGCTCCTGGGTTTATCCCAGATCAGCTCCTGGGTTTATCCCAAAATCAGCTCCTGGGTTTATCCCAGATCAGCTCCTGGGTTATTCCTGAAACCAGCTCTGTTCTCCAGGAATTTTCCAGGCAGATTCCATCAGATTCCATCAGATTCCATCCGAGCAGGGGGAGCTTGGCCTGGCTCTGGCATCATCTCTGGGATTACAGGGGAAGTTTTAAGGAATTTTTGCTGTGCTCCCTTAGGTGTTTGTATTTCCATATTAATTCCAAATAAACTTGAACAATTCCAGTAAGGAGCAACAAGAAGACTAAACCTCATTCTGTGGTGGTTACCACGGCTCTGAAACTTCATGAAAATTCCCACTTTTCTGATGGAACATTCCCACATTTCATTTTCTGGCTGTTTAGATTTGCCTGGATTGGATATCAGCAGGAAATTTGGGGTTGTCATACAAATGGCACATGTGGAATTTGGGATGAGGGCAATTCCCTTCCATGTCCTTTGCTTCCCAGGGATTGGGGGATTCTAGGAAACGTCCCAGGCTGTGCTCCCACTCATTGGGAGGGATGAGGCTCTGTGTTCCTGCAGGCTCAGGATATTCCAGCCTGATGTTCATCCCTGTTTTCTGAGATGGGGCCATAGGTGTGGCTTTGCTGCTGAAATAGGACTGAAGTGAACTAATCCAATGGGTTGGATTCCTTTGTAAAATATTATCAGGAGCCATGGATGAAGCATGATGGGTTGATGATACAAACTCCCGGAATTATTGCATTATTTGATGATTTTTTGGGTAGGAATACAGAAAAACAAGAGGACTGGGAAAAGGGAATATGCCCAGGTAGTGGTGGGGATTCTGGCTCCCACAGAATTGAACTTTGCCATGGATAGCTGCCAGAACAGCAGATTTGCCCCATTGGAAGCAGCAGATTCCAAGGGGAATCCGGAGCTTTTGGATCCCAGCAGGAGCCAAGGACAGCAGCTGGGGTGGGGGGGACCTTCCTGGGAGGCAGGAATGGGACAGGAGCTGCCTTTGGCTGACGGGATATTTCTGCTTTCAGGAGAGCACAAAACACAACTTGGGGTTCTCCAGTTGAGCCTCCCAAGAAGGGAGATGGGGCTGGGGGCTGAGGGTGGGAGTGGGGATCCATGAGGAGCATCCATGGGATCCCAGCAGGACACAGCTCCAGGAGCCTGGGAGAGCTGGGGGGGCTCCCCTGGAGAGGAGAAGGATCCAGGGAGAGCTCAGAGCCCCTGGCAGGGCCTGGAGAGGGGCTGGGGACAAGGATGGAGGGACAGGACACAGGGAATGGCTCCACTGCCAGAGGGCAGGGCTGGATGGGAGATTGGGAATTGGGAATTGTTCCCGGGGGTGGAATTCCCAGAGCAGCTGTGGCTGCCCCTGGATCCCTGGCAGTGCCCAAGGCCAGGCTGGACACTGGGGCTGGAGCTCCTGGCACAGTGGGAACTGTCCCTGCCATGGGTGTCCCTCCATCAGGGGTGGAACTAAGGGATTTTTAAAGTCCCTTCCGACCCAAACCAGTTTGGGATTCTATGATCATGCACAAGGAGAGGGGTTTTTATTCATCCCAAAAGGAAACCTGGGATGTTCCCAGTGCTCTCTGCAGGGAGTGAGTTGGAAGGGGAAGGCAGCAGCTGCACTTGGAGATTGCACAAACAGCAGGAGATGAAAGAGCAGAACCTGTTTGGAAATGAGGTTGTGACGCCAGATGGGGAAAGGCCTTTCTCAGCCCTGTCACTCTGTCAGGCTCCCCCACCTGGGGATCTGTCCTACAATTCCCAAAGAATTCTGATATTCCCTGAGAGTGGCAAACACACTTTGGTGTGGCATGGAAGGCCAGAGAGCACATGCAGGTGATTAATAGCTAATTAGACAGGTATAGGGATTTTAATTGCACTGTGGAATCCCAGACTGATTTGGGTCAGGAGGGACCTTAAAAATCATCCTATGGCAGGGACACCAAACCCAGTGTCCAGCCTGGCCTTGGGCACTGCCAGGGATCCAGGGGCAGCCACAGCTGCTCTGGGAACTCCATCCCAGGGAACAATTCCCAATTCCCAATGTCCCATCCATCCCTGCCCTCTGGCAGTGAAGCCATTCCCTGTGTCCTGTCCCTCCTTGCCTTGTCCCTCTCCAGGCCCTGCCAGGGGCTCTGAGCTCTCCCTGGAGCTTCTCCTCCCCAGGCTGGGCATTCCCAGCTCTGCCAGCCCTGACAGTCTCTTCCTATTGGATTCCCTGTATCCCATCCCTTATGTTTTCCTGACTCCATGGCTGTTTTTCTCTCTCCTGATGGTTTTACTGCATGGACAGGACACAAGTGTGGGATTGGGAATCATTCCCTGAACCCCCCTGGGGTCACTTTGGGCCGTGCCAATCCTGTGGGATGGCAGCCAAGCCCTGCAGGCTGGGCATGCCCCATTCCCTGAATTCCAGTGAAATATTCCCATTCCCCACATGCAGCACAACATTGCCCAGGTCTGTTTTTCTGTTTTTCTGGCACGGCCACCTCGGTGCTGACCCGGAGCTGTTGTGAGGAGCAGCGAGGCCCTGCTGGCTGATTTTCCATGCAGCACACACAGGAGTGGGATATTCTGGGATCACAGCCCTGACTCATCAGCTGCAGCCGCAGCCAGGAGATGAGGAGCTATTTATTACAGCTCTGCCAGGCTCTGAATGCTTCTGAGCAGCCAGTTCAGTAGGAATTATGTAATTATTCCTCCTGGATGATTCCTCTTATTGCTTTGTAATTCCAAAATTCTCGCAGCACACTCCTGGATTTTCAGATGAAATCCTGGGAATGACTTAACATGATTTGATTTTCCCTTGTTTATGTTTGTTTTGTTTGGCTTTGCACAAATGTCACCTCTTTTTTTTTTTTTTTTTTTTTTTTTTTTGGTGAAACTGTTTTGCTCATCATTTAGTGGTTTGGAAGTTTATAAACAAATGTAATTCCATGTAGGAGTTCCCGGCTGGTTGGGTGGGAGAAGGGCTGGATCTGGAGCTGCTGGAGTTGTCCTCGTGCCTCCCAAACTCTGGCTGATCCCAGAGAGGGATGAGGAGATGCAGAGTTTGTGGTTTGTGGTTTGCTCATCCCACAAGTGAGAGAAGATTCTTGGCAAACCCTTTTTCCTAAAAAAGAGAGGGAAGTGGGAGTGAAACCCTCTCTGGACCAGGAGCTGGGGGTGCTTGGATAAATATTTCTTAGTTTTAATCCCCAGTGAAAGAGAAAAAAGCCCCATTCTTTGATTTATAATCTTAGAACTGTGCTATAAACTCATCACAGCCTGAGTATTCCAAAAGTCACACGGAGGGTGAGCTGGCAGAGCTCTTGGAAAGCTCTAAATCACATTTCAGTGTCCAGTTATCTTAGGGAAGTCTATTATTCTTACACTGATCGTGGATAATTTGGCTCTGATCTTTATCCTATGCTCTGTTTTGACTTTGCTGGTCACTTTTATCACTCCCTTAGGAAGAGACATTTAAAGATGGTTTAGCAATGAGTTTGGAAAGAGAGATTAATTCAAAATCTGAAGGTGGTGATGGGATGGGTCTGTCTCAGGTGCATCATTTGAGCTCCCATTGGCTGTTACAAATAATCAGAGTTTGTTTTTTCCCTCCCCCCAAGATCATGTAGGATCACAGAGTGGTTTAGGTTGCAAAAGCCCTCTCAGACCATCCAGTCCAACCTTGCCCCACATCCACAGGGATTTGCATCCCTCCAGGGATGGGGACTCCACCCCTGCCCAGGGCTGCAGAACCTTTCCATGAAGGAATATCCGAGGTGGATAAGGAAGGAGCCGTCCCATTCCCGATGGTCTCAGAGTCCCTGGTCCCTGCTCTTGTTTTTTGGGAACCATTCCCTCTGCAAGTCCCTTCTCCCAGCTGTGGGATCAGGGCTCAGTGTCCCTGCCCACCTGTGTCCGGCTCCAGAAAGAAAAATCCAGAATCTGGAAGATTTACTGGGGCACTGAAGGCCAGGCTCCATAAAAGAACTCTGGAAAAGCCAGAGAACAAATATTGGCTGAAGGAATGGAGGTGTGTGAGTGAAGGCTCCATGTGGGGCTGTATTCAGTGTCCCAGTTTGTGTCAGATCACAAAAGGCCACAGACATTTTTCATCCATAAAGACATTAAATTGTTTGGAGTGGAGGCTGGAAGAACAAGCTGACCCCCTTTTGCTTTGCTGCATCCAAATTGTGCAGTGTAAGAATTATTCCATTAAACTCTACCCTCACTGTTGCTCTCCCAGACCAGTTTAACTCCAGGAATGAAAGCACAGTTGATGACAGTTGGAATATGATGGGTTTATTTCAGATTAAAAGTGTTAAAAAGTGGGTTCTGGCAGGAAAACAAAACAAAACAAAAAACCAACATGTTTTCCTGAGGAAAATTGTCAGAGCTCTCAGAAGTTGTCACCTTCCATGAGATCTGAC